TTTCTCATTTTTTGTGCTGCAAAGACATTGCAGGTGAATATTAGAGGGGATTATTAATTGCAGGTGAATATTAGAGGGGATTATTAAACGGAAATTGAGTAGAGTGGAATATTGAATATATTCCCCGATAAGAACAAAGGAAACCGAGCAAGGTAAAAAATAATGGTCTTTACTCGCACTTAAGTCTACCTTTCCATAGCATTTAAGAATTTACCCTAAATGCCAATAAATTCAACTTTAAGTGGCTATAGTGTATATTTAAAATACGCTTATAAATACTTCAATAGTGACCTTTAGTTAAAACTAAAATGTCACTTAAAGTTACTTTGTTTAACTTTAGTTGACACCCTAAAGTTTAATTAAAAGCTTCGATAATAAGGATTTAATGTAGTTTTAAGGTGACTTAAATTTCAAATTTCGCCCTGTGAATTTTCGCCCGTTGATGCTAACGAGTATACCGCCGTTAGTTGATTAGCTTGGTTCTTCCAATAAACAATGCCATGTAATAATCGTCTCTTTATGCATCTTCGTCAACTTGCAAAAATGTTATGATATGTTTGGTTTTAGAATGTTTTCATGTGCCAAATACGTACTAAAAATTCCAAATCATGATACGCGCATTTTAACATATTAATAGTAATAGTTTATTAAAAAAAAACCTTGCAGTAGAAACTGAATTACAGGTCATTACAAAAATCTTATTTACAAATATTATTTACAGTATATAAAACTTATACAAAATTATCTGAGAGGTGTACATAATTTATTATAGTTAATTAAAAATGAATGTATAGCTAGACAATAGAGTTATTAGGTTCAACGATCACAGTTCAGGTCGCATACTTATGGTAACGAATTTCTGAAACCGGTCTGTTCGCATCCTGATATTCCTCGCAACATTGTCAGATCTAAGTTTATAACCATGGTTCACCGATGCTGACCGGCTATGAACAATTGGATAGAGTGGGTTTCCAGGTAGGATTGTCTCCACAAATCTCTTACAGGCGGCGTCCCTCCGTAAGACAAGCGGTTCGATAATAGCTAGTTTTAGGGCATCATCATAGGAACAGTTAGAGTATATTATGGCCAGTGCTCGTTCCTCGACCCTTTCAAGATCGTCGCTAAGATTTTGAGGAAGGTTGGCGAAAACGACAGAAGCATATTCCAATGCTGATCTTATAATTGCACATAGGATGTCTGTTGGGGCTACCCCACTCCTCTTAAGCTTCCTCAACGCATATAAACGCCTATTGGATTTCTTAATAATGTATTCACAATGTACAGACCATGTTAAATCACTGGTAACATACACCCCGAGCAGTTTAAATGATGAAACAGATTCCACGCGTGTTGCACCAATGATGATAGGTTGCAAAACACTAGTATTGAAATGAATAAAGTTAACAATCATGTCTTTACACTTGGCAGGATTAAGCTTCATATTGTTCACTTCAGCAAACGAGTATATATCTGCCACGATATGATTCATCAAGGAAGGGGAATTTCTAGGTACAATTTCCAAAGCGGTAAGATCATCAACGAACTTAGCACGGTGGCCCCACGCAGACAAAAGTTCATTCACCATTACGTCAAAGAAGATCGGGCCAAGCTTAGTACCTTGTGGAATACCACCATTGATATATTGAAGTGTAGATGCATCCGACCCAATACGAACGAACTGAGACCTTTTATATAAAAAGGCAGCGATCCATCCTAACACAACGTTATGAGTGCCAAGTTTAGATAGTTTATCAAGTAGAATCTTGTGGTCAATCAGATCGAATCCCTTGCGGAAATCAGCAAAGAAAAATTGAAGGGTGCAACCACCCTTGTCAAGGGCCTCGAGGGCTAGATGAGAATATACTATAGCCTGTTGCGTAGATTTTCCAGCCATAGCAAATTGTTTGTTATCCAAGTGACTTATAATGGATGGCAGGGTTCTCGCTAAGGTGAGACTTTCCATCACTTTAGCAATTTCGCAAGTGAGTGAGATGGGTCTGATACCATTTTCATTGGAGCCCGGTGGAGATTGTTTGGGAAGAGGTGTAACAATTGCTCTCTTTAATAGAGGAGGCAAATAGGCATCACGTAAGGATGAGTTATAAATATCAGCGATTACTGGAGCTAACTCAAAGGCAAACGTTTTTAGAATTACATTCGGGATTCCATCCGGTCCCGGGGCTTTCCCAGTCTTTAAAGAACAAAGGGATTTATAAACTTCGCCAGTTGAAGCCAAGAGATCATCCGCAATACCAGAATCACCAGCAGAATAGTTAGAATCATCGTCCTGTGAGAGAGGCGTAAAATCTTTTGCGAGATTTACAAAGAAATGATTGATTCTTTCGCATAACGTATTAACGGAATTTACAGTTTCACCATGAATGAGGTGCTCAAACCATTGGTTATTTCTGTCAGCCATACCAGAAAGATTTTTAACCTCTCTCCACCATTTGCTTGCGTCCGTGACTTTTAGGTTTCTAACTTTAGACTTATAATACGATTCCTTACATTCTTTGATGGATTGAGCAACTTTATTTCTCCAAAATTTGAAGGAAGAGGACTCCTTCCCATATTTTGCCATACATGTTTGCCTTTTCCTAATTAAGGATTTTATCTTGCTTGTCATCCAAGGCTTGTCGGAGCGGCATTTACTTACTGCCTTCATAGGTAAATATTTTTCAACAGCTCCTAAAAGAGTACGATGGAAACATTCAAATTTATCTTGACACGAACCTTTCGAGATCACCTCTTGCCATGAAAACGAGGTTATCCACTGGCCAAATTCTCGAATTCGACTATCACGGGTGTCTCGTCTAAAGATAGTCTCTTTGGGCGGTGGTTTTGCTCGAGGCAATTTCTGCCTGACAACAAAGCAGTAATGGTCGCTGGAGCCAATTTTGGGTAATTTCTCGGGTACAGACAAAATTTTAGGTTTATTTGTTACATACTGGTTTGTTCAATCAATGCATGATCAAATTTCGGTTCATCCCAAGAGGAAATGCAATTTATATTTCCCCCAAAAAATCGATCGATGTTTTCGCTGTAAATTTTGGCAAATATTCCTTGAAATATTATAGCCAAATCAACAAAGTTTTTTCAACCAGTGCACATATTGTATATTTCTATTTCGTTTTAAAATAACTAAATACTACGAAAAGATACATAGAACATTGTACTAATTAATACAGTTCGTATTTTAACCTTTAGACTACAGTTAAGTACAACATTCCTGTCCCTGATGAAGTTCCAGCATTTGAAGTGTCCGTTTCCGTGCATCGTCGTGACGCAACTGACGAAGAAGAAATCACGGCATGTTATCCATTGAAGTTGAAGATTAACGCAAGGCAAGTACTTAAATAATCACTGTCAACCACGATGAATTTCGCGCTATGTGAATGTTTACAAATATGGGAAGCAAAAATAGTGTTGTCTTCGAATATAGTCGTACACTAAAAATAATATGCATTAGCTTTATTATATACAAAAACACTTTAATACATTTACTCGCTGGTGTTTTGATGAAATCTTAATTCCTGCCTACGTTCACGCAGTTCGTTGATGTTTTGATGAAGCAGGATTTCGGCGAACTTGCTACGCGAAAGCCCCCGTATTCAATGGCTTTCTTTCCTTTCCGGCCAAAGGACAGTTGTTCAAGTATCGTTGAACTTGTCAACGATATTATTTTTGATATACCTTAACTTGTTGCCCGTTGTTGACTTTCCACGAGCGGGAAATACAGAAGCCATGATTAGCCACTACTTTATAAAATATAAAATGATAAAACTGTCTATAATCCGTTGATTAAGATAAATACACACGCCAAAATATCAATCAATGATTTATTAACATATTCCAACAATAGAAAATATGACATTGACTATGAATAATGCAGATTGATAAGGATACGTTTCGGATATCGATATTTCATCAATAAACTCGCCAACAAAATGGCGGAATAAAAAACAATGAAAACATTTTAGCGCGCAATGCATCTTGGTTGTCTGTGATTTTTTAATTGGAGACATGCACTAATTGGGACTGATTCGACCACCATGATAGCCGATTTTGATTAATTCTCATTCGTTGTTTAGCTGGCTTAAAGAAGATGCTTCGAACATGGCTATAGTGGACGTAAAGCTTGTTTCTGGATTTTCAGTAAATGAAAACGTTCTAAAAGAAGTAGGTTCTGGATTATTGCAATGAAGAAGTGTCACATGCACATTTAAATGTGGCATGCATGCATGCGTGCACACTTTTTATCACGTACTATTATTGACGACTCACCCAGTCATTATACTGTGAGGGAACGCAAAGAGATACATATATAGCGCATGTGATAATAAATAGTTTTATAACACCTTGGAAAGCTCCCTCTATTAAGGATTGGAAATTTCTATTCACGATTCTATATACACGAAACATTGTGGACCATTTTTCTCCGTTCGTTTGTTTCTTTCTTGCTGGTTAGGCATATGTTCTTAAAATTTTCTGATTTTCTAGAAATTGAAACGATCTGAAACACTGGTTGAATTCTCTGCTGTAAGTAGAGAAAGTGAAGCGTTGTTAAAGCGGTATGAAATTGAGGAACAAAATGTCATTCTTTATTTTGACGAGGTAAATATTTAACAATTAGACAGTGAGAAAACAGCAAGCGAAGTTTTGATAATTATATAGTGTATATGAGAACCAAACAACACTTTAAAATAAAACTAAACTTAAGATGTTCTTTACAATCTGTAAAAAAAGGTCTTCCAAAAAAAAATATAAAAAAGTTATTAAAAATTTCAGAGGACTGTTATGCGTTGAAATTGTCATAACGTCAGCAACGTACAACAGGGAATTGGACTCGATTAATTAACGTCAAATTAATTTTATCAGAATAATAGGGAATAATTTGTACTAAAAATAATTCAAACCCCTACTAAATTTACACAGTACCGACGTACATGTACGTCACTCAAACGATATCGAAAATATTACTTATTAAAATAACATTATCTTGTTCTAATGGTTTTAATCGGCCATACAAATAAAACCCCACTGATTGACATTTTAAATATAACGATATTTAACCATGCGTAAACATTATTTCGTGCGTGAATGATGTCAATTATATTTCATATATGTTTAAAATTCTCGATTAAATGGAAAATAAGACACTTTTCCGGAACCTTCTTGTTGGAGAATTGAGTGGATTGGCGAAAACTAAAAATCGGCGGTGGATGAGAAATATTTTCCTTTAATATTTAATATTCCGACCTTTGGAATTCGTACCCCAACTTAGAAATCATTAAAAACCAAATGATTTTTGAGACGTTCTCTGGTTGAAAATTATTTATTCACGAGCTTTCGGCTGCCAGACTGGAGCCTTCAACGGATAGTAATAAAATACAGTAAGTACAGACGACTATACGGTTTACAATTACAGATCCAGACATCGCCTACGCTGCGCATACGGTTAACAAATTGACTGACTTTGCAAATAGGCTATCCAACATCAACATTGAAGACGATGAAATTATGATTTCTTTTGATGATGTTCCTCTGTTTACTGCTATCCCTGTCGAGAAAACATGCGAACACATTCGCAACAAACTACTGAATGATGCTACCTTACAACAACGAACAAACCTAACTATTGACGATATTATTAAGTTTATACGTTTCAAACTGTTCAACAGCTTTTTAATTTTTTTTAATTACGACAGGCACTCCTACAAACAAATCCATGGTTGTGCTATGGGCAGTCATGTAAGCCCTATTGTGGCAAACCTCTGTTTAGAGGTTATTGAAGAACTCGCTCTGTCTCAAGCAATTGTACCACCTAAGAAATGGTTTCGGTATGTTGATGATGTTTTCTCGATCATCAAAAACATGCATTAGATTCCTTTTATAATTTACTGAACTCCATTGACACAGACATAAATTTTTCTACAGAACATGAACAAGACGGACGACTTTCATTCTTAGACATTTTAGTTTCTCGAAATAACGGGACGCTCATCACTAATGTCTGCCGTAAGCCTACGTACACTGACAAGTACTTAGATTTCCATTCGCATCACGATAAACAACATAAAATTAGCACAGCACAAATTCTCCTACACCGGGCAGTAACACTTCCTAACTCGATCGAAGGCAAACAACAAGAATGTGAGGATGTTATTAGAGCGTTGACGGCTAATGGGAACTCAAAAAAGTTCCTGACAGAAGTGGAAAGGAAACGTGCTTTGAGACAACAGAAAACACCATTACCTGAAGAACTTGTTCGAGAGTTTTTTGAAAGAGTTGATCCCAGTACAAAAGTTTGTTACGCGGTTTTACCATACATCAAAGGCCTAACAGAACCTCTCAAACGCCTCCTCAAGTCTTATAACATCCAAACAAAAGCGAAACCTATACACACATTTGAACAAATGCTCCCTTCACAGAAACACAGACCACCATCCGAAGAACAAACAAATGTAATCTATCGAATAAATTGCGCCGATTGTTCGTGGAGCTACATTGGTGAGACGGGTCGAGCGTTTATCACACGAAAAAAAGAACTGGTGAAGAATGTCGAAGAACACAAAGCGGGTTCAAATGTTGCGAATCATGCCTGGTCTTATGACCATAAAGTTGATTTTGACAAATAATTGACAAGGCAAACTACCGCCACAGAGCTACATTGGAATCTTGGCACACCGCGCTCTCAGCTAACGCAGACAATAATTCCAATCATTTACCGGAACAATACCGTTTTTTATTAGAGAAATAGAACACTTATTATCAGAGTATATATAGGCGGAACTATCACTTTCAGTTATTTGATTGTCACTGTAATTTGTTAACCGTAGGCGTAGAGTAAGCATATGTCTCGATCTGTATATGTAAACCGTATAGTCGTCTGTAATCACTGTATTTTATAACTACCCGTTGAAGGCTGCAGTGTGGTAGCCAAAAGCTCGTAAATAACAATTTTCAACCAGAGAACATCTCAAAAATAATTATGTTCAATCCTGGTCGCACTTCAAGCATATTTAATCGTTAAAAACCTGTCAATTGGGGACGGGCGGGGGCAGACAGGATTGAATATCTTTCTAATTTTTGTTTTAAAAATTCATATTCGCTGTACTTCAAAACCCGGTATTCATTACTCGTTGTCCCTCTTCCACCTCCGATGAAAACTACCTCCCTCACTCACTTGGAAATTATATATTGCAGTTATTGCAGTTATGCATGTATTGCAAGCAGTTTCTTCTACATGTTTCAGCTACAAAGCGAAACAGATTTTGACTCTTAACTCTAAACAACCACGCCAACCCGCAAGATATGAAACGGAAGAAAAAACTTTTAATTTTCTGAAGAAAATATAACATTATTTAGCAGGTTCGGGCCGATTTAGAGACTTCGGGTACAGGGACATTGACCAAAATAAAGTTTTAATTTATCTTTCCAGATTAAAAAGATGAGTTTCTCCCTGGATATTATTCAGACTACATTGGTAAAGAAAACAAAGCCAGGCGTTGTACGAGTTTATGATTATTATGATCCAGGTCAGGATATAATTTTTACACTGCTTTCCTTTTGATCACTGAACCGACATCAAGCGGCAAATCGTTCAACTTCCAAAGAAAAAAAATATTTCATAAATCTCAATGTATTTGGGTGTGTCCTAACCAACGCCAAATCCTATAATTTTATCAATTACGATTAAATGTGAATGTTGCCAAATGTGCTTTAAATCAAGTACTAATTACGCTAACCTAATTGCTTATTAGTCTAGACTGTTTCATCTTTACAACAATTATCATGTTACTTTCTTAGCTGCATGTCAGTGTACATTTAACCTTACCTACCCTGTCAACTTTTCGTGTAGGAGAAACCGTTGTAATCGGATGAACCTGCGACCTTCGGCAGAACGTTGACTAACTCTTTTCACATTCAATCGTACGTAGAGAGATTCAGGCTAACCTAAGGGTTAAGAGTGTAGACATCATGAAGATCATGGAAAAATTTCGCTTACGTACAGAGCATATAAAACATAGTTGGAAAACGGGAAATTTCCTGTGTTTCCATTGTACACTTACAGCAACACGCGACGTGACCAATCAGCGCTCGTGTGTTGTAACGTAATGTGTAATGTTGTATTCACTTTTGCAAAAAGCCTAAACCCTCCACAAATGACCCTCTAAAACTAAAACCCTCTACAAATGAACCTTCTTAGCGCTTGGATAAACGAACCCGTCTCCAGTGTTTATTGAGTGTTGTCCATTGAACAATCCTGCTACCATTGTATCTCGTGGTTTGAAGAAAGTTAGAATAGTAAGTTGGTATGTGCTGTATTGAAGCTTCGTCTTTTATATTTATGAAACTCAACTGAATATTAATTTATGAGTTGCGTTGACTTGGTCTAATAAACCGTTCGATAGACTGGCTTATATCGGGGAGTTTTCGTTTTGGAAACGAAATTAGCTGGCGGCGAAATGTTACGACAATGTTTGTTGTTTTACTTTGTCCTAACTTTGGCTGATTCTGTGGTTGCATTGGACGTTTTTATCGGGGCAAGTTTCTTGACCATCATCGAAGAACAAACTGATCATAGTTTGCACAACAATAATTACACGATTGGCGGTCATGGCTTATTGTCTTCCTGGTCATGCAATGTTGAAAACAACATTGTTTGTTTATGCTATACGGGCACTTTACATCTTACATTCCTGAGACAATCGAAGAATAGGAGGCATGGGCGCCCGTGTGTTTATCATAATAACACTACAGCAACATTTCGTACTCTACTTATTGGTGATCTAGTCTTTAAACTAAATCCTGGTCCTACTCGCAGCAAAATTTCACCCATTGCATCCGTGCGTCATAGCTATAGGCCTTTCAGGCCAAGCAATCGTCACGCCTTTCGTCGCGTAACACTAATAATTTAATCACTGTGAATTGTTCTAATTACCTGAATGTACATTACCAATCATTAAAATTCTGTGTATTAAAAGCTCGTTCAGTAAGAAATAAGACCGCTGACATTTTGGACTACATCTGTGAATGCAAGCTGGATGTTGTTGGTATAACCGAGTCCTGGCTGTGCTCTGATGACGCAGCTGTCCGAACAGAATTATGTCCTGATCGCTACAAATTTCTGGATCACCCACGCGACGGGCTGCGCGGTAGCGGGACTGGTCTAATATACCGAGACTCGTTGTGTGCAAAAAAGTTAGATGCAGGAATAAAACGTTCGTTTGAATTTTCTGAATGGTCTGTTACAACATCCGGTCACAAACTCCGCATCGTTGTGCTTTATCGCCCACCGTACTCTAGTGAGCATAACGTACCGATGAGCGTCTTTTTCAATGAATTTTCGAACTATCTAGAGTCTCTTCTGTTGTCTAAGGAGCCTCTTTTGATCTCTGGTGATTTCAACATACACATTGATGATGCTGCAGATGCCGATTCTTTTAAATTTCAGGATCTGCTTGAGTCGGTTGGTCTCCGGCAACATGTTACCCAGGCCACACATACCCATGCCCATACCCTTGATCTTATAATCACACGTTACTCTGATCAGATCATAATGAATCAACCGTATGTAGACCGTTTTATTTCTGTCCATGCTTCTGTTATATGCGATCTATTACCAGCCAAACCAGTTATGTCAATCAAAAGAGTTAGTTACAGGAAATTAAAATGTGTGAACATGACCTGTCTAAACCAAGATCTGGCTGCTACAGCATTATGTGCGACCTGTCGTGGTGAACCAACAAATCTGCTGCCAGATGACGTGGATGCGCTGGCACGTCATTACAACGAAACTCTGTCGAGCCTAACCAACTGTCATGCACCATTAAAGACCAAAAGTGTAAGAGCGAGGGCATCGGCGCCCTAGTACGGTGAAATCGATGCTGCAAAACGACTTCGCAGAAAGGCCGAAAGAATTTGGCGCAAGAGCAAATTATTGTCTGACTTTAATCAGTTTAAGGTTAAACGAAATCGAGTGACATACCTTATGAATGAAGCGAGGAGAACGTTTTGCACTAACTTCATAAAAGAAAATAGTGACAACCAAGGAAAACTGTTTAGAGCCGCAAATAAGTTGTTCGTAGCGAAGGACGAGCTGTGTTTTCCGAATTATCACAACAATACGGCCCTGGCTACAGATATTGGCGAATTCTTTGTGCGAAAGATCTCAAGAATACGGTCTGACATTGCTGCTATGGTCATTGACTTCTCTGTAAGTGATTTAGTGCCAGATGATCGGGTAGTGAATAAAGACATAGCATTGAATTCTTTTCGGTGTTTAACGGAAAATGAAGTCCAAGATCTTATCCAGGCGTCAACAAAAAAGTCATGTGCGCTAGATCCTATGTCTACGTCTTTGGTTATCCGTTTAACCCCATTACGTCCTGTGATTACACATATCATCAACTCCTTACTGCTCACTGGCCATTTCCCTGACAAATGGAAGGAAGCACTTGTCAAACCTCTTATTAAGAAAAAGGGGCTCGATGCTTCGTTCACCAACCTTCAACCCATCAGCAACTTATATTATGTTTCTAAGTTGACCGAAAGGGCAGTCTATGACCAAACCTACCACCATAATATGACTCACGAACTTTTCCCTCTACTCCAATCTGCATATAGAAAGGGTCACAGTACAGAGACAGCGCTTCTGAGAGTACAGAATGATATTTTAATGAACATGGATCGACAACAGGTGACTCTTCTTGTGCTCCTTGATCTCAGCGCGGCTTTTGACACCGTGGATCATGGAATTCTTTTGCATCGTATGGAAACCTCTTTTGGTATAACTGGTACTGTTCTGGAGTGGTTTAGATCGTATCTTACAAACAGGTCTCAACGTGTTGTGTTTGGTGAGGGACAGTCGAAAAGTTTTCAGCTTCCATATGGCGTGCCACAGGGTTCCTGCCTAGGCCCCTTGTTGTTTACTGTTTACTCTAGTAAGCTGTTTGACATAATTAAGAAATATATACCAACAGTACACGCATTTGCGGATGATACACAGCTTTACTTGTCATTTCAACCAAACAGCAGAACAAGTGAGGCGGAGGCAATCGAAGCGATGGAGTTGTGTATAAAGGCTCTTCGGGCATGGATGATTACAGATAAGATGAAACTGAACGACGACAAGACAGAGTTCCTGTTATTGGGTACCCACCAGCAGCTTAGCAAAGTATGCATCGAGAAGTTGTTTGTTGGTGACGTCACCGTGACCCCAGTTTCTGTTTCTCGGAATTTGGGAGTATGGTTTGATTCTCACATGAGTTATGTGACACACATAAATAAAACATGTAAAGCAGCATTTTTCCACCTTCACAACATCAGAAGAATAAGAAAGTTTCTCTCAAACGAGGCAGCTCAGACATTGGTTCATGCATATGTGATGGGAAAACTTGGCTATTGTAACAGTTTACTTTTTGGGTTACCTGATAAACAGATAAAGAAGCTGCAGCGTGTGCAGAATGCGGCTGCCAGGTTAATTTCCTATACTCCACGGTTTGGACATATAACTCCAGTGTTGCGTACATTACATTGGCTTCCAATTAGATTTATGATAGAATTTAAAATGTTAGTTATAATATTTAAATCTATACATGGTTTATCACCTGTGTACATAAGTGATCTTATAAGTACGAAACTACAGAGTAAATACTGTCTGCGATCAAACATAGTTAATAGAGGAGAAGGTTTGGAAGCTGGGGGCGTGGCCAAATTATGTTATTGTTCCCTGTCACGTGACAATACGGGTGCATCAAAATTTATTTGTAATAGGAGATTGTATTACAGAGGAGGCTGTAGTACTTGAAAAGCGTCTTTTACAGAAAGAATATCCAAATACCAGGTGCAAATTGCTCCATACATGGTTGCCGGACTAGTAGAAAACACTTTGACCTCAGTATTTTTTGAAATCCAACAAAAGACGACGATTTATCGACGAAAATTCGCGAAGCGTTGGCGAGGCTTGTCACAAAGGACGCTGGATCGAGAGATAGATGCAAGTTTAAGAAATCAAATCGCTCAACAAAACACTTCTCGTTTGTGAAAGACACTTTCAAAACACCCAGCTGAAACATGTAAGTTATTTTCTTTCTCTGGTAGAGGTATTGATATTTCGGTATGAACGCTTGAAAGTTTCAACTTTATAGCAAAAGTACTGTATATATATATATATATATATATATATATATATATATATATATATATATATATATATATATATATATATATATATATATATATATATATATATATATATATATATATATATATACCGGGTGGCCCAAAAAAAAGTACTCCTGTTTGATTCGTAATAACTTCTAAACAAGTAAAGTTTTTAAAGAGAAATAACTTGCATTAAATAGAGGAAGGACTAACTTAGATTTTGATATATTACAGTTGTATTTAACTTAAAAATTCACGGATATATTAATGTTAAAAATGGGGAGCATATTTTGGAATGTGTCTAAAATTAGCGAAAATCGGCATATCAAATATTAACTCCAGCGTTTGTTTGCTTAATGACATATTAGGCTAACTTGTATTTCAGCGAATTATCGTTAAGGTTTGTAAGGGATATGGCGTAGATTTAGACATCTTACATGTAAGTCTTAGCTCATTGTTTCCTGAAATATGAACGTTCGAAATTATGCAAGTATTTAATATTAGGTCTTTGCAAACTTAAATGTACATGAAAGACTGACCATGGAAGGCAGGCGCTTAAATTTTTCGTATTCTTAAATAGCCTAATTTTTTTATGTTTTTAATGGGTTCAAACAGACTGAGTAGATTATTTCTCGGTTAGAGCAGGATGAATATTCTTTATTGAAGGAAATAATATTGCTTTTTGCAAATACACATCACCGTATCAACGCTACTATTTTGTTACGTTTTGTTCCAAAAATGTTGCATGTCTCTGGGGAGTTGCTTAATTGTTATGTCTTATGGAGTTGTATGGTTTGATTGTGTTTCATATAATTCTCAGTTTACTCCATGAACTTGCCAAGATTAAGAAACGGCAAAAGAGTTTGGGTGTTCTTAACAAGATTTCAGAACGTTGCAGAAGTTAGAAGAGCTTCACAATTCCGTTGTGACAGCATGCCCTAATTCAGAACTACGAACGATCCAATGACGATCCTTCGCGATGCAGTGGTCTCATGAAATAAGGAAACGTATTCGTGCTAGGAACACACGCGAATTTCGGACGAATGAATCTTGCTTGTATTTTGTAGATATAATAATACTTTGTTTCATAATAAACAATTTGTCAAGTGTCATTTATTTACTGGTAATAGTGCATGTTTCAGTCGGGCAAATCTTGATTAATATTTGATACGCCGTTTTTTGCATATTTCAGACACATCCAGAAATATCCTCCCGAATTTAAAGATTAATATCTCCGTGAATTTTTAAGTGAAATACAACTGTAATATATCAAAGTCTAAGTTAGTCCTTCCTCTATTTGATGCAAGTTATTTCTCTTTAAAAGCTATACTTGTTTAGATGTTATTACGAATCAAACAGGAGTACTTTTTTTTGGGCCACCCGGTATATATATATATATATATATATATATATATATATATATATATATATATATATATATATATATATATATATATATATATATATATATATATATATCAAATGATCAAATTTGTATTAACCATATGGTCATAGGGCAGGAAAAATATATTAAATATTAATGATTTGCATAAAACTGCGTTTCGGTCATTAGGTCATATTTATATAACAGTTTATAATCCTTGTGTTCATAAAATGAAGGTATACATATTTATATTCAGGACACTGTCACTGAGGACAGTAGAAACATTTTCGCATACAGTAAACAAAGTATTATACAATATTCAAAGGCTATTTTAATAGCAAGAAACTGGCATAATAAAGTAACAGGATTTTTGTTTGGCCATGTCATAGTATATGAAAGCCCCATTTACAGTTATTATAAGTCTTGTTTGCTGTGAATTTTATTATAATTACTATCTTAACAATACTTGTATAAATTAAGTCATTACTTACTGTATATATAATCAGATATTTTATGTTCTGCTTTAGTTCCCACCTGCAAAAGGCTTGTAGCTGGTGCTATTCCTACCTTTAATTTACCCCAGAAAAGCATACCTCGCTAAATCGACAATTGGAGCCAGGTAACATTGCTGGTCGTCACACTGGTCAGAGGAGTAAATGGTATGGTGGATTAGAAAAGGCCTTGCCATAACATAAAACAGAAGTAATCTAGTGAGAACTTTTGTGGGGTTTTTGTACCCAGAGCTGTCATTAAGGGCGTGCAGCTTGCCTACTTCTGTCTTAACAAAGTTCATATAAACAAAACTGTGAAGCAATAAACAAACCTTTTACTTCCTCTAGTCAGAACATCAAAATTAAAACAAAAGATTAAATGATTTCAAACAGGTCAGGCTTTGATAGGATGTTTTGTAATCTTAAGAACTCTGTGAAATACCTTCCAAAAT